AGGGAAGTTCCGGGGTGCAAGGCGACCAAAGTCGTGTCTTATGTTAAGGCACGTATGCGCATATGGCCCCTTCCTCAGTTATTGGCCGTGGTAAGCTCACATTGACGGGTGGAGTTGTCGGGCGCAGTGCGTTGGCGCCTGGTTAGGCGGCGGTGGTCGTGTCTCAGCCGCGCCCAGTCTCTCTGTAGCTGATCACTCCCATGCGACAGTGTACGGTTATTCGGCGCAGTGCGTTGGCGACTGGTTAGGCGGCGGTGGCCGTGTCTCAGCCGCGCCCAGCCTCTCTGCGGCTGGTCACTCCCATGCAGCAGTGTACGGTTATTCAGCGCAGTGCGTTGGCACCTGGTTAGGCGGCGGTGGCCGTGTCTCAGCCGCGCCCAGCCTCTCTGCAGCTGATCACTCCCATGCAGCAGCGTACGGTTATTCGGCGCAGTGCGTTGGCGCCTGGTTAGGCGGCGGTGGCTGTGTTTCAGCCGGGCCCAGCCTCTCTGCAACTGATCACTCCCATGCAGCAGTGCACGGTCGCACGGGCGGCGATAACGGCTCGAATAAAATGGGCGCCAGAACACGCCCTTGCGCCAGTCTCATCCGCCGCAGCCTCCGGTCGCAAGTCGTCACCGTCGGCAGTCATGAAGCTGGCGCTCCTCCTCGTCGCCATGGCGGTGGCTGTTGCCGCGCAGGACCACAGCACGCACCAGCCGGACCCCGAGCGCAGGTGCTACTGCAGCATGGGCGTGCACAACATCTTCTTGCACGCCATCCTCTTTACGTTCCATCCCATGTTCGATGCACAGTGCGACTCCGGCGCTGAGAAGCTCTGCGTTGAGGAGTGCTTGGAGCACAAGGACGTGCTGGAGGCCGCCGGCGGCTGGTCTGCGAAGCTGCCTGAGCACCATTACCCGGGTAACGTGAGAGTCGGTGACGTGGCCTGCCAGAACCTCGGCCGCGACGAGAGCCGCGGCATCCTGACACAGCTGTACCACGCGATCTGCGACCAGCCCACCAGGTGGACCGGGCCCGGCCTCACGGAGCCGCTCTGCTGCGACGACGGCAAGTTCGTCCGCTGCTTCTAGGAGCTGACGCTGTGCTCCTCCTCGGCGCCATGGCGGTGGCCGTTGCCGCGCAGGACCACAGCACGCGCCGCTTTGGCGATATTGGGTCCGCTCTGTACGCCGCTGTGTTCCCAGTTCATCAGCGGAGGCCGCGCTGACGGTCAGAGGTTGTTGAGTCGTATGAGGGCGGAGAAAATACACGCGCAAGTTGACCTCCCGGGGGTTTTCATGTGACGTGAAACGTCGGCGGCTGCATGGTTGGGGTGCTTGAAGTGGTGCTCACGTTTCGACCTGCCTGATAACAACTGATTATCTAATAGAAGTACTAGTTGGATTTAGCGCCCAAGCTGATTATTTAGCGCCTGGTTATGCAACAGCTCGCGTATAGTCTCAGCCACATGCTGGTCGCACGTTTGTGCTGGGCTCTTTCACTCGGAGGTGCTGTGTTACATATTTTTGAAGAACCGCACGATTTCTTCATATTTCTTCACTTTATTTGATCGGCCGCCTTCGTCCCGATGGCGATCTCTCGAAGCTAAGCGTGTGTCATCGTCCCAGACACTTCAAGGGTAGGCTCTCCTTAAACCGCAATCACACACAGATTGCTGGTCGCGGGCGTTGCAGGCATTTCCTGCCGCGCATGCCGGTGTCTTCTGCACCGCCTGGCGCCGACGCCGGCTCCACTCTGCGGTGGGGGGGGGGGGGGGGGGGCGTCGGGGGGGTTGCCGGATTGTTTGTGGAAAAGAATAGCAGCCCTAATAGGCCTCTGTAATAATGTTGATAACACATTCTATTAGCAGCTTAAGTCTCCACAATACGCTATTGTGTGGATATTTTGTAGATCGCTGGCTCCTCTGCATACTGAGTTCTCGCATGAAAGTTTCACTTGGTTGCGCCATCACTGCAGCCGAAAACCGAGCGCAAATCCTTCTAAATAACTCAGCGGCGCATTCCGACGGTCCGCCGTATCCAATGCCAACCATTACCGAGGCCGGTCGTGACTCTCTTGATCTTGATTCGGCGCGGTCGCCGAACTCTCCCTCTGCTCGGACTGATGGAGACCAAAGCCTGCGGTCGGCCGGCCTCAGTTCGAAAGATTAGCCTGATGGAGCGATGGACGCAGAGCGTAGCCCGGGGTGCGCCGCCCAGCTGCGCCAGCGGAGCTCAGCGAGGTGACAGGTGGAGAGTGGAGCCTGCAGTTGACTGGCCGGAGCGCGGGAGCCTGCCTTGGTGCCCGGCTGGCTGGAGGGCTTCGGCTGTTTCGCCGACCGCTGGAGCGGTGTGCGGCGGCGCCCGCCGGCCGCTGGAGCGGTGTGGGGCGGCGCCCGCCGGCCGCTGGAGCGGTGTGCGGCGGCGCCCGCCGGCCGCTGGAGCGGTGTGCGGCGGCGCACGCCCGGCTCCGCACGCCGGGACCGCTGAGCTGTTGTGCGACGCGCCCGCCGCCGCTGGCCTGCTGCGCGCGGGGCGGTCTTGCAGCCGGCCGGCCGGCCCCGCTCCCACCGGGCCGGCGTCGGCGGGGCGTGACCTTGCGGCCTGGAGCGCGGTGACCTCCGCGGCCCGCTCGGCCGGCAGGGGCGCGGCAGGTGCGCCGCGGCGGACAGGGGACGGGTGCAGGCTGCCGCCGCAGACGGCCGCGGACTGAGCGGCGCCGAGGCGTGTGCGCGGTCGGGCACCGCGACGCCTGCGGTAGCCGCTGCTGCAGAGCGCTGTCCGCACGCCACACCCGGGTACCTTGCTGTCCAGTGTTGTCACTGGCCATGCTCCGAGCACCGGGGCTCTACAGTATTCCCAGCTGCATGATGGTCGCAAAAGAGTGCAGCATAAGTTCGTAATGCTGGTGAAGTCCCAAAACGATTAGTTTTGTATTGTGGCGCGCTTTGCTCTTCTAGTGGCAGCGACAGCAAATGATGGCGGTTGGCCCCGAACCGGGCCGCCCACTAGCAGCCTCCTCATGCCTTCGCATGCACGGAGGCCAGCTGGCAATTGAGATAATAACGAGGCTGATCTGCCCGCGCAGGTCTCTGTAATGAGTGTTCCTGTTCGTCTCGTGTGAGGGGCATGTTTGCTACGAACCCAGGCGCATGGCGTGCCGGGCGCCAAGACTTGAAGGGCGGGTCTGGTGGCACGGGCTGGTCCGGTGGCACGGGCTGGTCCGATGGCACGGGCTGGTCCGATGGCACGGGTTGGTCCGGTGGCACGGGCTGGTCCGGTGACACTGCCTTGGCACTGAGCACGGGACATCATTATCGTCTTCACTCATCGCCTGCGCTATGACGAATCGTGCATGTTTTGGGATGGTGTATGATGCATACTATTCGCATATGCAAGAGGTATACTGCCGCGGTTTGCGTCAGTACCCGACTGACGGGACTGTTATGTATGGGCACATATGTAGCAGGTGCGGCTGGTAGCGCCGCAGTATCGCACGCCACTGATGGCGGAGCAAACCGCAACTCAACTGGTCGTGCACCTCAAGACCGGTGACGTATTGGTTCGGAGCTGGCAGGCCGTCAGTCGGCTGTCGGCTCGGTGGTGGCGGCACCTGTGCTGGCTGCACCGGCGGCTTTATGGAATGTCGGCATTGCATGCGAGTCTCGACCGTTGCCCTGACAAAGCCGCCAGCCACGCCTGTGAGCAGGCCAAGTGTCGGTCTTCTGCTGTTGTCTTGCGATTGGGGCACGTTTTACGAGGACGTCGGCGTCGCGCCCGGTGGTGGCACTGGCTGGCACTCACAGCACGATCCGTCGCTGGCACTCCTTGTCTTTGATGGAGAAGGCAGCGGGATAATTAATACTGTGGATACATGCGTGTTAAAGTTGAATGGAATGATAATGGCCAATCAATATGCAGGTGCTGCAACGGGTACATCCTGTTTTCTTACTGGTTTTCTGTAACCATCGCGGCCGAAATAACCATATGAAAACATCGTAGCTTGAGCTGAGGCTTCATCGCTAAACACTGGAGGTAATAACGCCAGTACCATTAGCCGTGCACCGATTTCCGTCTTGAAAAGAATCCATCATTACCGTCCAAAGGGCCGTGCTTCCTGGCGTCGAAGCTGTTGGACAGCTATCCGCCCGGGCGGTGGCCGGCCTGGACTGGGGAGAAGAGAGCGTAGCGGGTCGGTGCGGGAATGCGTGGTGCGGCGAGAGAGGGCAGACAGTCGCTTCGGCGGGCGGTGCGGCTTCATGCAGGGATACTGAAGTGTGCTTCTCAGGAGCCTGGTCGCCCTCCAGCTGCCTCATAACACGATAGGTATGGGCACTGCATGACCATTTGCAGCCGATGTGCCCAAAACCCCGAATCATTATCACGGGTGATGACACCCTCGTGTGGTGGTTGATTATTCACGGACAATTTCCTGCGTGTTATAGACTGCTTCAGTATTTGGCCGGCCGCTGTCTTAGATTGCCTACGGCTCTGTGGCCGTCTTCTGGCATCTGCTCGTTGGCTGTACACATTGAACAGCTGCTTGCCACGCAGCCGTTTGGCTGTGCCGTCGTCGTAAGCCGCGGCGTCGAGACGCCGTCGGTTTGGTGGCTGATGATGAGTCTCCGGTGGCGCATTTCATCGCCAAAATGTTTCGTTTGTGCTCTGTGCTCGAAGGCCCACTGTCCAGATTGGCTTACTCCTGTGTGCCTCTACCGATGACGTCCTCCGCACGGCAGGGACAAGGACGGGACAGCGGGACGCCCGCCCCTGTCTCCCCTCCCCTCCCCGACGTTCCCGAAGTGTTTAAGGTTATCCTCGTGACGCCTAGTACACCCGCTGGCGTGGAAACAAGCCCGCTGTCTGTGTGACGACCGTCAGTCATTGATCAAGGGTTGTGACGATTTTTGAAGCCAGCGTCAGTGAATGTTGACGACGTTGCGAATCGCACCCAAACCCTGTGACGCTTCGGCGGCTGTCTGACTGATGCGGTCTGACGCGGTCCCCGTTTTGTTGCAGTACGCTGTGTGGGCTTTCATCTGGCTCTGCTGGAACATATTCGTGATATGCTTCTACCTCGAGGTCGGCCGTCTACGGCGGGTGAGTAATACCGAGTGGAACGCACCGGCGGCGGCCTGCTGCCACCGGCCACGGTCCGCTGCCACCGGCCACCGTCCGCTGCCACCAGCCACGGTCCGCTGCCACCGGCCAGGGTCCGCTTCCACCGGCCAGGGTCCGCTTCCACCGGCCACCGTCCGCTGCCACCAGCCACGGTCCGCTGCCACCGGCTGCGGCCCGCTGCCACCGGCCACGGCCAACCAGCGGAGGCCGCGACAGTGTGCGGCCGGGCATTCCTCGTTCGGTCGGATCTGGCCAAGGCTGGCCGATACCAACTGCGCCCGGCCGCTGCCGAACACGAACGGAAACGGCCGGTGGCGACCGGATGTCCCCGGAGGAGGCTGGTTGCTGTGGGCTGTGACTGGGTGTCACCGGAGGAGGCTGATTACTGTTGACTGCGACCGGGTGTCACCGGAGGAGGCTGATTACTGTAGACTGCCACCGGGTGTCACCGGAGGAGGCTGATTACTGTAGACTGCCACCGGGTGTCACCGGAGGAGTCTGATTACTGTAGACTGCCACCGGGTGTCACCGGAGGAGTCTGATTACTGTAGACTGCCACCGGGTGTCACCGGAGGAGGCTGATTACTGTAGACTGCCACCGGGTGTCACCGGAGGAGGCTGATTACTGTAGACTGCCACCGGGTGTCACCGGAGGAGGCTGGTTGCTGTATGCTGTGGCTGGGTGTCACCGGAGGAGGCTGGTTGCTGTAGGCTGCGACCGGGTGTCACCGGAGAGGCTGATTGCTGTAGGCTGTGACCGGGTGTCATCGGAGGAGGCTGATTACTGTAGGCTGCGACTGGGTGTCACTGGAGGAGACTGGTTGCTGTAGGCTGCGACCGGGTGTCACCGGAGGAGGCTGGTTGCTGTAGGCTGTGACCGGATGTCACCGGAGGAGGCTGGTTGCTGTAGGCTGTGACTGGGTGTCACTGGAGGAGACTGGTTACTGTAGGCTGTGACTGGGTGTCACCGGAGGAGGCTGGTTACTGTAGGCTGTGGCTGGGTGTCACCGGAGGAGGCTGGTTACTGTAGGCTGTGACTGGGTGTCACCGGAGGAGGCTGGTTACTGTAGGCTGTGACTGGGTGTCACCGGAGGAGGCTGATTACTGTAGGCTCTAACCGGATGTCACCGGAGGAGGCTGGTTACTGTGGGCTGTGACTGGGTGTCACCGGAGGAGGCTGGTTACTGTAGGCTGTGACTGGGTGTCATCGGAGGAGGCTGGTTACTGTAGGCTGTGACTGGGTGTCACCGGAGGAGGCTGATTACTGTAGGCTCTAACCGGGTGTCACCGGAGGAGGCTGATTACTGTAGGCTGTGACTGGCCGACATCGACTTCGATCGACCGTGGCAAAATGAGACAGGCAACACAGCCAGCCACGGAAAGAAAGGCTGGAGAAGAACGGTGGCCACCGAGTATCATCAGTCACGACGAACTGCGGCAGGTCGCTATCCCTTCTACGGACACTTGTTCTGATGCGCTGAGAACAGTACCGAGCACGGCGACGAAGTCGAAACTTGCCATTGGTCGTCACCACAGCTGAGCGCACCTCCGACCAGCAGACGGAGCTGGGCCCGATACAGAGTTATTGCGCAGTCACGGCAGCAGACGGCGCGCGCTCAGTGAGCGGCGCGGCCAGTGCCGGTGAGCTGTTTGCTGGGCGTCTTCTCACACTTCAGTCCGGTTTGTCTAGTCAGCGTCGTGTTCAGAGTCGGTCACAGAGTCTGCGCATCTGGCTGGTGGTTCGGACGGCCGTGGCCTGCCGCCGAGTCGCTGTGCTTTCACCGCCGCAGTCGGCGTCGTACCACCGCCCACCGCCCACGTGACGCCGTGCGCGAGGCGCAGAGTAAGGCCCGCTCTGACGAGCAGGGCGGGCGGCGCTGCTTGAGCGGGGGCGCCCGGTCCCCCGGGGCGTCTGACCACAGGCAAATGACGTAGAGAATGCGTCGGAAAATGACACCGACATCGTCAATCATCATCACAGCCAGGTGCGAGCAGTCGCCATTTGAATAAACGCCTTAGTAAATATGGTTACGCTGTCGCGATGGCGATGACCAGGTGCAAACTCACAGAGCCCGCCCACGTGACGCCGCGCGCGAGGCGCAGAGTAAGGCCCGTTCTGACGAGCAGGGCGGGCGGCGCTGCTCGAGCGGGGGCGCCCGGTGCCCCGGGTCTGCCCATGATCTGTCGGCGATGGCGGCGGCGCCGGCGTCTTGGCGGCTGGCCAGCCAGGGGCTGACTGAACGCGCCGGAATTAGCACATTGTAGCCGGAAGGAAGACGCTGAGATGCGCACAGAGAGCGGGTCGCGCTTTCGTGTGACGAAAACGTTTGTGAATGAAACTTACTGCGATTTTTTCAAGACCCTGCCCTGCTATCCGTAGACAGAAGTGTTGTTCTTTGTCCGTATGACTTCACAGCCATCTCCAGCGAAACGTTCCCACGGCCCCAGGGACGAGTGGCTCTTGTTTGTGAGCCATTGTTTGGAGGTCAGGGGCGGCGTATGTCGTCCCGCGCCGCGCTGCCGGACTTCTCGTGTCGCGCCGCGTCTCGCTCTCGGCGGTGCCGTCCCTCTCACCGGCTGTTTTTCCTCCTGCGCTCCTCGCGCAACGGCGAGCCGTTCAGCCGCGTGACGCGATGTTTCTCGTCCGCCTCATCGGCTTGTCGGGTCTCTCCGGCGCCGCCCCTCCCCCTCCCCCCGTGTCTAACCCGGACACCGCGCCTCTGATCTTGACCCCCTTGCATCTGACCCGAGCACCGCGCCTCCAACACGGATCCCCATGTCTGACCCGGACCCCCGTGTCTGACCCGGACCCCCTCGCTGCCGGCAGAGTGACGAGGTGCTGAGCCTGTACACGGGCTCTGTCTCGTTCTGGGAAGCGTCCGGCCCCGGCTGCGTGCCCGTCTACTCGACCAACGGCAGCGCGCCAGCCGACCCGTACCGAGAGCCGCGGCCCGACCGGGTCGACGGCTGCTGGCTCGACTACGAGCACGTGGAGGCGCTGCACGCCGCCCTGCAGATTCTGCTGGCGGTGAGTTGCGCGGCAGCGGCGCTGTCGGCTGGCCGGGGAGCGACGCACATCACATGCTCGCGCTGACACTAACAACGTCATCGTATGCGTGCGGCGGCACAAACAACGTTATCGTCGTATGCCCGTGATGGGGTGTACGTCGTGATTGTTGCCCACTGACTTGGGAGTGACGTTGAACCGCATATCCTCGTCTGCTCCCTGTGAGCAGATCGCCCTCGCCATTATCTGATCACGATGAGGTGCAGATTATCGCCATCATTATCACATGCTCATTGTGAACCGCATAATTATCAACATGTAGATTTGTGTTTTCCATCAGTTATTACGGTGGCGATAAGCCTAGTGATAATGATGGTGCCAAACCCCATTTTTTCGATACCTTCCTTGTCATCGGTCGATTGCTTTGAGTCTTCAGAGTGTGGCTCATACATTGCCTGCTCCTTTCCTGCTGCTGCTGACATGGATTGTCCGGTGCCGCGTGTTTTGTGAGCTTAGGACATGGCAGCTGACTGTCCACCGGCTCGGTGCCTTGCGCGGCGTCCGGCATCAGCCGCCAGCCGCGCGCGCCTCTTCTTGAGCGGGCGTCGCCCCCTGTTTCAGGCCATAGGGGTGGTGCTGGCCGGCTGCCTGATCGCAGGCGCGCAGGCGGGAGGATGACAGCTGTGAGTACCCGGGCCGGCGGGGTGGTGGTGGCCCAGCCAGCGCCGCAGTTATACGCCAGACCCGCGGACTCTGAGTTCCGGCCCGGGCTCATGCAGCCTCGCTCACCAGCAGTCACCAGTGGCACTTCCAGCCAGCGCTTTGGATGGGATGAACGCTATCCATCAAAGACCGGTGTAATGTTGGAGTAACTACAGGAACTTAGACCCAGTGCACTGCCGCTGATGCCATGGCATTTGTCAACTTTGGAATGTGATTTTTTGGAGAAGGGTGGCGGCACAGTGGCCGGGTTTGCGTGAGGAGGGCAGCCGCGGCGTTCCAGGCTGTCAGTCTGCGGCCAGTTGTCGTTCCTACAGCTCGCGATGTCCCTCCCCCTACTGGCCCCTCTCCCTACTGGCCGCTTCGTCCGCGATCAGCTGACCCCCTTACAGTCGACTTTATCGGCGGCCTGGACATGGGCGGCACGTACAAGCCCGTGTTGACCTCGCCGGCCCGGCTGCCACTGCTCGCGCCGGCCGACGGGCCGCCGCCGCCACCTTACGGCGCACCGCGGCACTAGCAGTGCTGCCGACCGCGCACAGATGACGCCACGCTCGCGCGGTGCGGTGAGGGCATGCGAGCCGCCTGAGTGTCTGTGTGCGCGTGCGCGCAGGCGGCCTGGTGAGCAGCGCGTCCCACTGTGACGTCAGCAGTAGACGTCAGCCTCGCGGAGACCCGCCATCACCTTAACTGACTTGACGCGACCTGACGTGACCTGAACTGAGGTGAACTAACCTGACCTGACGAGGCCCGGCCCGCCGTCGCCGCCGACGCCACGCTCGGCAGTCGTGTCGTGGTCCGTCCGCTTCCGCCGCCGGCAGCTCCACGGCAGGGCTGGGAGCGAGGCCCGCACCCCCGCTCACAGCCTGCGTGCAAGGCGGCGCACCGGCCGCCCTCAGCCTGGCGCCGGCCGACGGCGCTGTTTTGGCCGGCGCGCTAACCCGCTTGTCGGTCCGTCTGACGTGTTTTTACTAACGCTGACAGCTGCGCGGCCGGTGTTGGCACGCTGCGCACAGGCCGGACAGCGTCCTCTGAGGTCCGCGGGCTCGCCGCCGGCCGACTGCATGAGGCTTCGGTCCGCTCTCTGTTGGCCACGGCCCCGGCGTTTAGCAGGCAGGCGTGCTGTGTTCATGTGCGAGTTGTGTGTGCTTGGTGCCGCTGTAGCCGGCCGCTGTCGTTGCTGGGTTGTAACCCTGCCGTGGGAGGGCTGTAACCCTGTCGTGGAAGGGTTGTAACCCTGTCGTGGGAAGGTTGTAACCCTGCCGTGGAAGGGTTGTAACCCTGTCGTGGGAGGGGTGTAACCTTGCCGTGGGAGGGGCGTGACCTTGCTGTGGAAGGGTTGTAACCCTGTCGTGGGAGGGGTGTAACCTTGTCGTGGGAGAGACGTAACCTTGCCGTGGGAGGGTTGTAACCCTGCCGTGGGAGGGGTTGTAACCTTGCCGTGGGAGGGGCGTAACCTTGCTGTGGAAGGGTTGTAACCCTGTCGTGGGAGGGGTGTAACCTTGCCGTGGGAGAGTCGTAACCTTGCCGTGGGAGGGTTGTAACCCTGCCGTGGAAGGGTTGTAACCCTGTCGTGGGAGGGGGTGTAACCTTGCCGTGGGAGGGGTGTAACCCTGCCGTGGGAGGGGTGTCCACAGTGCATGCGTGTGATGGAGCCGTCGCTCGACGCGCTGCTGCGATGGAGCGCAATGCACAGTGGGGTAATCAGCTTGCTGCCGGCTGCTGGCGTTCCTCGTGGCAACGACCTTTTATCGGTAGACCATCGCCCGCCGTCGACCACTTTTTGCCAATGGATCGTCCGACGAGTGTGGTTGGGGAGGGAGCGGTGCCAGCAGTTACCACGGCGGCACCGAGGCCGCGGTCCGGCGGCGAGAGCTGTGCTCCCAGCCAAGACTTCCCGAGGCAAACCCGATCGCATCACATACCGCTACCCGCCAGCTCCTTTCATCCGTTGCCTGACGGGTGGTATGGTCTCAAGTGCTGCTGTTTACTGCCCCGGCTACCGGGCTGGCGTCCCCGAAGTATCAGAGCCCCTCCCCCCTCTCCCCCACCCCTGCCCCATATCATGAGGTGGTCCACCAGGCGCCAGGTTCTCTCGTGGGTCCAGGGTCTCCGTCCCGGCGACAGACCGCTGTGAGCCTGCGCCAGGCGCCTTGTCTTCCCAGTGGCCACACCCGGCTGACTGCCTTTTGCCCGCCCTCCTCTGGGCGACGCATCACCTGTCCAGTACTGACGTCTGACTGAGGCCTCGCCTCTGCACTGCTCACATGTCCGCGACTGCCCCGTCTCCACCATGGCCGGTGTCCTGTCGTCGGCCCGTCTCGCCGGCACTGACGCGCGCGTCCGGTCCGCCCCCAGCCGGCGTGAAACCGCGCTCACTGTCGCCGGCGTACCACATCGAGTACCGGCCGCACCGCGTGGAGGAGCGGGCCGGCTCGCCGGAGCCGGCCGAGCCGCCTGCGCTGGCCGTCGGAGGTGCCGTCGGACCGGCGCCCATGACGCCGCGCAAGATCAAGCGGCGCGCCATGACACGCACCTCGCAGCGGTCCTCAGGTGAGCGTCAGGACCTCACCGTCAGGTCAGGACCTTACCCTCAGGTCAGGGGCTCACACTCACGTCAAGGCCTCGCCCTCAAGCCAGGACCTCACCGTGAGGTCAGGGGCTCGCCCTCAGGTCACAGCCTCACCGTCAGGTCAGGGGCTCGTCCTCGGGTCAGGGCCTCGTCCTCAGGTCAAGACCCCACCGTCAGGTCATGGGCTCGCCCTCAGGTCACGGTCTCACCGTCAGGTCAGGGGCTCGTCCTCGGGTCAGGGCCTCGTCCTCAGGTCAAGACCCCACCGTCAGGTCATGGGCTCGCCCTCAGGTCAGGGCCCCATTGTCAGGTCGGGGCCTCGCCCTCAGCTCAGGACCTCACCGTCAGGCCAGGACCTTACCCTCAGGTCAGGGGCTCGCCCTCAGGTCAGGACCTTGCCCCCAGGTCAGGACTGTACCCTTGGGTCAGGACCTTACCCTTAGGTCAGGGGCTCGCCTTCAGGTCAGGACTTTGCCCTCAGGTTAGGACCTTACCCTCAGGTCAGGATTTTACCATCAGGTCAGAGGCTCGCCCTCAGGTCAGGACCTTAACCTCAAGTCAGGATCTTACCCTCAGGTCAGGATCTTATCTTCAGGTCAGAGGCTCGCCCTCAGGTCAGGGGCTCGCCCTGATCAGGCCAGGACCCCACCCTCAGGTCAAGGACTCGCCCCGCCTTGTATAAGGGGGTCGCCTCACACCGAAGTCAGGACCCACGCTAGAGTCGCAGTCGTTAAGGGAGGTATTGAGGTAACCGAAGACGCACAGATAGGTATTATCGGCAACTGATAAACACTGTGGTGGGCGGTGGAGCTCAGAGTCGTCATCAGGTTTGGGCAGGGGTGGTCAGAGAATAGCGGACCCAGGTGGGACTACATCGTGAGCATGTGGTGTGGACCGCCCACGTGTGTGGTTGGCGTCCATCACTACTTGATTCTGCGGAGGGGGGGAGGGAAGGCGCCCAGTGGTCAGGTACTCTGTGCACCATACCACCGAGTGTCCTGTCATCATGATCATCATCGACAGCACCACAGGGGATTTAGGTCGTAGCTATCGTCAGGTCACAGTGCTGTAGCGTGGGGGAGCGTGGTGACGCTCGATGGGCGCTCCCGGGGCTTTCTAAGGCGGAGTGAAATCGTGCGCGTGGTAGTTGAATGGAAACCGAGCTTAGCCGGAATGGACTGGTGACCGATGATAACGGCGCTTCGAATTTCACATGACGGTGTATGTGCCAACGGAGACATTCATGATACTTCACGGGGGGTGCCGGTGGCGTAGTGGTGAATACGTCTGCGTTAACCACTGCGTGTCTGTGAAACCAGAGGTACGGGATTCGATTCCCCGTGATGCCGGCCCTTCCTGCCAGGGTGAGAGGCAGGCGACGCCATATACCCTCAACCACTAAGTGCGTCGTAAAGCCCCAATGACACACACAGTTGGCACTTGCTGCCTTTAGCTCGAAGCATCGGCTGGCTCTCTTTATAATCATCAAGGTCCAGAATATCACATACATGAGCATGATCACAGTGATCGCTGAGAGTTCACACCGTTCACACGTTCACGTTATTATAGGACCTCGGTTTACGCGTTCGCACGCTCACGTCAGTATAGGGCCTTGGTTCACGCGTTCACGCACTCCCGTTAGTATGGGGCCTTGGTTCACGCGTTTACACGCTGGCTATTATATGACCTTGGTTCACGCTTTTACCCGCTGTTATTATACGGCCTTGTTAAATGCGCTCACGTTGGTATAGGACTTTGGTTCACGCGTTCACGCGATCACGTTATTATGGGGCATCGGCCACGCGCTCAAACAAACACCATGTTTTAGACCATGGGTTCGTCATTCACGCGCTGAATGATTGCAGGGCATTGGTTCAGCCGTTCAAGCGAATACTTCATTTTAGGGTATTGGTTCGCGCGTTCACGCGCTCCAGAATTAAAGGGCCGCGGTTCACGCCCACAACGCGCACGCACGCACGCACGCACGCACGCACGCACGCACGCAATGACACTCGGCCTTCGCTGCGCTGGCCGAGCGGTGTCGGCATGTGTCCGAGGGGAGGGGCCGGGTCGGCGCCGGCTGGGTCGGCTCTCACCACCTCTCAGCTCCGGTAGTGACTCGACAGTACTCCGGCCAGCGGGCGCATCAGCTTGTAACCGCCCGCTCACGTGCGTCGGTCCCATGCGCGGCGCTGATAGCCGGATTCCCAAGGAAACCCACTCATGCAGATAGCTGTTGCCTGGTCTGTTACAGGCTAGGGATGATGGCCCGCACAAGGTCAGAAGCGCGCTGCACTGAGAGGCTTACTAGGTTGATCAGCTAGGCGTCATATGAATTACGTGTTGCGTTGTGTTCTGGGCCTTGTCGATATTCTTGCAGAGCATATACATATCGTTGCACCGGCGATAGTCGACTTCCATCGCGTTAATGCACCTCACAGCGGCATAAGAGTGAGCAGTCATGGCGAAGCGAATCTCCTGCTCGCCGGGGTAAACAAGTATTTATCATTACCTGTATGGGCTTTCGTATGGTTAACATCCCCCAGGAAGCGTTTTTGGCCTCCAACGTTTTCAGTGTTGGTCGTCGCGTGCCTGTCTCTCCAGAGCGTGACTGACACGTGCGTCTGTGCCGTGGGGAACGGAATAATACTAACTACAGCTCCCCTGCTTTCAGTTGGGTCGTGCTTTAAGCACATAGGGTAGGAATGGTTACCATTAGCAAGATGTCGGTTGTTCAAGGCTTTGATGACGCTTACGCCGCGCAGTTTAAGAGAGTTAGTGGCCGCAGTGTATAAGAAGTTTGTTTTATTGTTCATGTAATAAGCTAGCTAGCCGTTCTTAGCTATCGATTCTTTTAGCTGTTAACCCCGTTGGCTGACTGATCTTAGCTGTGGACGCTGACACCTGTCACGCTCGTCATCTGACGGTATTTCTGACAGTTCCGCTTCCCCAGCCCTCTCCCTTCCGTCCCCGCCCCGCAGCACACGGCGGGGAAGGAGACACTGACACTGATCGCCCAATACTGACTCCCTGCCCCACCCTGCAGGCCGCAGCTCGCGCAGCAACCGGTCGCGCTCGAGCCAGCGGACCCGGCGCCACCCGAACCCGGTGACGCAGCTGCTGGACTCGTCGTCGAGCGAGCTGGCGCCCGACCGCGGCCACACGAACCCCGGCTTCCTAGCGTCGGAGCGGCCGGCCGGGCCGCCGCGGCCGCCGTCCGTCCACTCGAGCTACTCCAACTACCACGGCCAGCGGCGGCCGGCGCCGGCCGTGGCCTCCGACTACGGCACGACGGGCACGCTGAGCGCCGCCGGCGACCGGCGGCCCGGCGGCCAGGCGCCGCCGCTGCCGCGCTACGGCGAACACGCCGACTACGGCGGCTACGGCCGCGCCGGGCCGCCGCCCTACGAGGCCGTGCCCAGTCTGACTGAGACGTCCATGTGAGGGCGCCGCCGAGCGCCGAAGCTGGCTGGAGCCCACGCGCGGGCATCCACGTACGGCCGGAGGTGACCTCGCGCCTAGACGGCGACGCGATGCGGCGCGAGGCCGGCAAAGCGTGTGGCACCTGCTGCGGCGGGAGGGGCGGACGCGAGAACGTCACCTGCGGACGGCGCCTGCGGACGGCGCCGCGCAGAGGTGTGCCACTGATGTCGCGCGCCGCCCCAGTGATGTCAGGGCGGGCGTCAGCCGCGTCTGCCAGCGGCGGCGCGGTGTGAGGCCGCCGCCTGTGTGAGCTGCCGTGGCTGTGTGTGGTGCGGCCAACAGCAGAGATATCCGCCGTCCCCGGCAGATGGAGCTCCTCCGACAATGACGAGTGTTTACCTGGTCGGTTTCTACCTGCTGGGCCTCCTCAGTACTTGCCCTGTTGCCATGGTCACGGGATCAGCGGGGGTATGTGTCTTGTTAGCCATGCCCGTCTGGAAGCAGCTTTCTCCAAGACCCATGGTGAACGCGCGTTATCGCCTCGTGCTGTGCCCCTGTGTTCCGTTGTAGTCTTCCTAGCAGCATTGATCACCTCTCGTGCAGTGCTCGCCGCGCCTGCCAGAAAGAGCGCGGCCTCGGCGCGCTTTCCATCGCGCCGGCTTCGATCATCCCCAAAGATGGCGGCGGCCACAATCGGTCCCGGGGCGGCCATGTTGGCGCCGCCGCCGCCCGTTCACTGCCGACCTGCCCGCCGCTGGCCGGCCTGCGCCAGCCGGGCCGCTCAAGTGCCGATGACAATCAGGAACGCTAAGACACGGCCGCCTGTTGGCCGGCGCGCCACCCCAGTGCCTTCTGATGATGATGATCTCCCTCCCCGCACCGTCCGCCGCCCGTCCGTCCACGCGCCGCTTGAGGGTGCGCCTGCGGGAGGAGCCGGCCGAGCTGTGTACACAGGCACGGCCTGCGAGCTGCCCGCGAGTCCGAGTTCAGAGACGCGCGGTAGCGACTGAACGGCGTATGGACTGGATTAACTGTGGCAGCTTTGCGTGCGTGGTCTTCTCACGTTTTGACGTGCTTTTTTAGCGGTAGGCTCGTAACGAAATGTGTTCTGTCGTCCTTCAGATGTTGAACTTTGCAAGCGGACGTAGCTGTAAGCATATTTTGTAATCATGTATTGCTCGCTCGGACTGTTTTGTAGTGATGCTCCATATGAATCACATCTACATCCTGTATATTTAATCACAGGGGCTCAATACACCCGAACCGTGAGTGCATTCTACACCGGTTGGTCACCGAGCTGCAAGGACGAACGACGGAGGAGTCCACCGCAGTTTGACGCTTTTGGAGAGCCCCCACCCCGCGTGTCAGTCGCCGACAAAGGTGGCGCTTTTTGAGACCCCCCACCCCGTGTGTCAGTCGCCGACAAGGGTGACGCTTTTTGAGACCCTCCACGCCGTGTGTCAGTCGCCGGCAAGCGTGGCGCTTTTTGAGACCCCCACGCCATGTGTCAGTCACCAACAAGCATGGCGGCGTGGATGTTCAGTGACGGCCACGGGGCCTGCGGACATCCCCTTGCCTGCATCTGATCGGAGGCGGACGACATGGAGGCTTGGCGAGCCATGCCTGAAAACGCAGTCGAGCTGCGTATAGAGGGGAATGAGTCGGACGTCCAGCCATAACATGGCCGCTCCGATGTTATGAATGGGCAAATGCGTTCTGGGAACACGATAAACCGATATAGAAACTAGTCTATTAGGTTGACAATGTGAACACTCATCGGTTAGATGTTCTAACGCCCCCCCCGTTTATCCACGACTTCTGGAGCAGGGCTGCGCTGAGGGGTTGCAGCAAATCTTCAGCAGAGGTCTAGTCTAGACTCCAGCTTTGCTGGGCTCCTCTGACCAGTCAGCCAGTGACGCCGGAGGTGGTCACGTGGCCCCCTGCCGCAAACCAACCGCCGCCACTGAGGGCGTTGCCAGCTCGTACTGAACCAATATAGATGGCAGTATCAATGCAAATAGATTCATTGTAGCAGCTGCGTCAAATCTAAATTGCCTTGCTGAGACTGACTCGTTAGGTAGCCTTGGACTGACTAGGGCCGTGGGCTGGCTGAGGTTAGTACGGAAGACTTCACTAGAACGTCGATGTGGAATTTCGTTTCGTTTAGCTAAACCATTGGTAAACCTCACCTACTTCATTTTCGGTTAGTGCTATATACCTACCTGATAAAAAGGAAGGCAACATTGTGTACAGTGTCTGCCGCGTGCGTACACTACCACTGGGAAATTCCTAAAGACAAATATAAAATCAAATCAAAGGTGAGCGAGGGGGAAGAGCAGCCAAGGGCAGTTATTTTGCAGATGACCTGTTTTTGAAAGGTGTGCAAATGGTTGTCATTGATGCTGTATTAATATAGCCAGGTTTTGAATGGATTTGAGTGTTTTTATTTATAGTAAGCATGCTAACATGCCAGTCTGCAAAACATGGTGGTAATTGATGAGACAGGTGGATGTTTTATGAGCTTCAATGTATCATGTTTGGGTGACACCACTATTTTGATTGGGTATCACTGACTCACTTGACAGTTCCATTGCCAGGGTTACTAGGTGGGGAGGACATCCACCACTTTTGGCAAGAATGCAAAATGTTAACTATTGATATCCAAGGCAACCAAATTGCTCTAGTTTTCCTCCACCCATGACAGTTCTTTCATATCAATTTAAAAAGATTAAATTGGCAATTTGTAATCTGTTAAGTGTGCACATATCAAGATGTTCTCAGATCCTGGGATTATAACTTCTTGATCTCATTGCATTACTTGAATAATTCCATGACTTCTGCATGCATTGTGTGTTGTATGTATATTTCATGTGTTAAGAACTTTATTTAGCCTTATTCAAGTTGTAATTTAGCTCTGCATTATTTAACTCTTCTGTCATGTGCTGCTGTACAAGTAAATATGGCACTTTGCACATGCTTTGACAGTGTCACCTGCTTCCATGTAGAGATGCATGGATGATGATGCAAGGATTGATGTCATAGTTCCATTACCGTATTGAAGGGGTAGCTGACGACCTTTTACCCCGGTAACTATCAGATCAGTCACATCAATTTTGTTTGATTGGTTCAATGATTTCACTTACATGACTCACCAGCAGAGAGGTGAGTTTGTGCTCATTGCATTTGAGCAGGTAGGTTGATACAGCTATTAGGTGGGTGGTGTTTTCTCCTGCTTTAGTGCAGCATACAGCATTGAACTCTCACAACACTTATAGCATGAGCAGGAGGGTGTAACTCCCATTGCCACAGAAAATAGATTGCTTCACTTGAGAAAACCGATGGACCGTTTTTTACACATCTTAGCAGTATAGGTCCATCATTTTGCACCCCACCATCATTGGAACTGTGAATGACAGCTGGAGGAATGGTGGTGGAACAGTAATGTGTGGATTAGGCCCGGCTGGCTCCTCTACATTGTGTTACCACCATGTGATCACAGAAGCGAATGTGAGGAGACCCATGGTCACTGCCAGACTATGAGAGCTCCAGTGCTCAGCTGGTGCCAATTGTCCGGATATTGACGTTGGCCGCCAGTAGTGACTCGGAGCGCTGCTGCAGGGTCACGATGGAGCACGTGCCATTCCCGGGCCCGTTCTCGCCGCCGGGACACTTTGGCGGCCGTTCGCCCTTCATCAATCCGATGTGCGGCCACTGGTCATGTCCGCTGACCGTATCACATCACCACTGCAGCCAGTGCGGCTACGGCAGCGCCGAGGTGAGGCGTCCGCCGCCATCCATCGCCGCCGGCCGCAACTTGGGCTTCCCAATGTCGTACAGAGAGGGCGCTGTTTGGCACTCGCTGGTGGGTACCGGATTGCCCGGGGATAATGAAGGTCGCAAGTGTGACAGGTTGACCTTAACCTTGGTTGGCGGATGGTCGCTGCCCGACACTCGTGACCGCTTTCGTTGCTTCTGGTTGCCAGATGGTGACTGCCAGACACTCGCAACCGTTTTCGTTGCCTCTGGTTGCCAGATGAGCCAGCTGAGGGTGCACTCGTGCCGGCGACCGTACGGCGTGGACCTGCCGCCCCCTCCTCCGCCGCCGCCGCCGCCGCCGCCCACGTTCTACCAGCCGGGGCCGCCCTCGGGCTACTACCGACCACCGCCAGATGACAGGGGTAGGACAGCCTGGTTATGCCTCTGTACTGGGGACTGGTCTTCTGGTCTATCTGCGGGACTAGACCTGGCTGCTGCCGACTGCCCTCTTCACAACGGTGACCAGTCGCAGTCACAAGACCAGATGTGGGCGACGGCGGCAGTGGTGGTCACGATGCGCACGCGCGCTGTCTCTGCGCACGCGCAGCTGCGCGGCTGGCTGCAGCGGCTACCGATGCGTCTACCGGCTACCGATGCGGCTACCAATGCGTCTGTAGAACGTTCGCGGACACCGGAATCCTGAGACTGGCTCTCGAAGCTCGCTACGTTGGGGACTTGGGAGGACGTGATGGACTTCGCTACTAAGGGGGAGGGGGGCAGGACCTCGGCTTGATTGGCTGGTGGGGTAATGATACATTTGGACGGATGTGTGGGCTTTACTACCTGAGTCTGCCCAGCTGTCACCTCACGCACATGCCGTCTCTCGCGCGTGTTTCGGATCGTTCTGGAAGTCGTTGCCTATTCTGTGCGGGCCAGGAGAGGAAACGTCTAGATACATGAAAGATAGCTCGGTAGTTGCCAAGGACGTGGCGTGAGAGAAAATGACATGTCCAGATGACATCCGCGCTGCAGTTGCATTTAAAAAATAATGTGGATGTCGTCTGTGGACACCGATAGCGGCCCGGTGCGCCGGCGGCGTCACTGCGACGTGGAAACCAGGCAGGCACCAATTCATAGCTCCCGCCCAAAGTCCAGCTTGTCAAGCCATTCGACCCACGTCGTCTCCGTGACGGCACCGCAGCGGTGCTGGGCTCGGTCCCGTGACTGAGTCTCGCCCCCCCCCCCCCTTCAAAGACTACGGCGCGCTGGCCGGCCGCGCGTTCTTCCCAGCGGCGCCGATCCTCGGGCCGCAGTACTTCGCGCCGCCGCCGCCAGGGGCGCAGCTGTACCGGCCGACGCTGCACGCCCCACCGCAGGGCATTCCGGGTGAGCCTGCGCTGCCGGGGGTGGCGAAGAGGTGACTGCTGTCTTGTGTTGGTGGTGGTGGAATAAAGGACTGGTGGAGTTGTCGGTGTGAGTTATTCATTATCATGTTGTGAAATATTTATGAAAGACAAGATGAAATGTAGCGTGTGGTGATAATGTGGTACAGATAGGCGTAGTGCAGTTACGGGATCGTTGTTAATATTCGTAGCAGTTTCGAAGCAAGATATGTTGTGATAATGGCCGTAAGCGCTTAATGATGTTATTTGTTTCGTGGACCGACTAAGTATTGTTTTCCTGCGTGGAGTCGTGTGCATGTGTCTCCAGCCGCATCGTCGGCTGCGGGGCGGTCTGCCTGGTCCCCGCGGTCTGCGGCCTGCGTGGTCCCGCCACGGTGTCACTCTCGACGTCCGTTCCGCGGCGGCCTGAGCCGAGCCCCGCCCCGCCTCCGGCCACGGTCCTGGCTCTGACATTGGCCCTGATCGCCAACATCAGTCCCGACCCCGACCCTGACTGGGACGCGCCTCGACAGAGGGCCCGGTGCCGGCGGCGCCGCTGGACTTCTCAGCTGAGCGGCGCGGCGCCTCTCCTCCGGTCGACGCCGAGGCGTACGCGGCGCGGCGCTGGCTGCCGCCGGGACCGGCGCCGGGCGCGGAGCCGGCCGGTGGCGCGGCCGAGCCGGCGGAGCGGGAGCTGCCGCCCGCGCGACCCTCCTGCCAGCTGCAGGGGCGTCCACCGGCCGTCGAGCCGCCGCCGCCATCGCAGCCGCAGCCGCAGCCGCAGCCGCAGCCGCAGCCGCCCCAGCCGCTGCAGCCGCCGCAGCCGCAACCGCAACTGCAACCACAACCACAACCACAACCACAACCACAACCACAACCACAACCGCAACCGCAACCACAACCACAACCACACACGCAAACACAACCACGACCACAGCCACATCAGCAACCACAACCACAACCACAACCACACATACAAACGCAAATACAACCACGACCACAGCCACAGCAGCAACCACAACCAAAACCACAACCACAACCACAACCACAAACACAACCGCAACTTCAACCGCAGCCGCAGCCGCAGCCGCAACCGCAGCCGCAACCGCAGCCGCAACAGGCGGCGGTGGTGGCTGGCGAGCCGGTGGTGACGACGGCGCCGGTGGCGCCCCCTGCGCCGGCCTCAGCGCTGCAGGAGAGGGCGGAGCCAGCCTCACCGGGCGGCCGGGCCCGGCAAGGAGAGGAGGAGCGACCGGAGGATCGGGATGAGGCCGCGCAGGACCAGGTGAGAGAGGGGGGGGGGAGGGGGAGGCAGTAACTCCTGGTGTGCCGGAATAGGCAGGTGGCGCGACCAGTGCAGGCTGGGCCCCTGCGGTGGACGTCGACAGGGCTTGGTCCGCGCAGCAGCGGCGTTCATAAGAAGCGATGGGGTGCGCGTGGACAGATTGGGGCTGCCGCTTTAGGCAGGCTATAGGCATGTGTTCGGTTTCGCGTCGTTCTTTCGTCTTGGCTCTTGGTCACCGAATGCCGAACTTGTGCTCGACTCCGCCTTGGCTCCGAATCGAGTCGAAGTTTATTCCGACTCTGCCGGGAGTTAAGCTACTCGGCTAGCCCGCCATCGCTGTCGTCTCAGACCACGCTCCCCCCGCCAGCGCGCCGTGGACTCGCCCGGCTCGCCTGCCGGTGGCGGCTCCGCCCTGGGCAGTGACGGTGGCGCGTCCCTGTCGCCCATCAACGTCGACATCCAGGTGCACTGCCTCATCTGCAGCACCCGTGTCAACCCGCAGGCCGACCAGTACTGCGACATTTACCTGGACAACATCGTCACCGCCCACTCGCGGCTGCCTGTCTCCGAGAAGTTGGGGCGTGTGCTCAGGTGAAGACCCGGACGCAGTGCTGGGCAAGGGTCTGCGATCTCGGGTGGGGCGATGCGCGAGCGGCGGTAGTTTAACGTTCGTGACCTGTGCGCCGTTTACTGTTACTGTTACCTGTGCGCCGTTTACTGTTACACACGCTGGTGCGCGTCACGCCCGTCTTACGCTGGCGTTTTGCGGGTCGTGCACGTGCACAGCACGCCGTCCGAGAGCTCGACAGAATGTCGTGTGCCGGACTGCGCGTCCCTCCGGCCGTGGCTGGTGCTGGCACTACAATCGCACTGTTCTGTATATGTCTGACGATGTTCACGTGAGCTTGCTCCACAGACAGCCCGTAAATGGGATAGTGTAGATCATGCATGCCTTTTACCGGAAGCTTCTACCATAGATGTGTAATCCACAACAACTCACGCGCGTAGATGTTGAAGCGTCCGTCTGCCTGTCCGTCGCCTCAGGTACCACTTCTCCCCGGAGCTGCTCTACAGTCACACACTGTGCAGGCGATGCTTCAACATCATCAACGGCATCGACCAGCTGGAGGGCCGGCTGGAAAAGCTCAGGTCAGCATCAGTGGCGGCGCGATCAGTCAGGGAGCTCTCACTTCGTTGGATCACTGACAACTGATGTCGACAGAAGCCAGTCGGACAGAAGCGTCGGTCGACAAAGGCTTGATCAGTCGCACGTTTCTATGCTAGGTCACTTCCCTTGCGGCGTGTTGGTCACCCCTGCCCAACGAGCGCGAAGAGTCATCGATACGCGTCCAACGCCGTGTTGGGTCATTGTTACATGTGAGTGTGAACAACCAGTTTGCGATCATTTTTTTGAAGTATGGATCAACGTGAGCGAAATATTAAGTGGATAAATAACGCGCTTTATGGTCTGTAATAGCATATAATCAGGGTGTTTGAGGGCGCGTTTTGATGCCGTACACCTTCGCTTAAGCACTTATTCCTCTCACCACGGCGGTGTTTTGGGAAAACGGTTGTTTTCATTCCTGGTCTTTGTGAACTGCCGATATTTGCGGAATTCGGTTTGGCTCGCGGCTCCATCTGGCCGGTGACCATCCGCTCACCGCCAGTGGCGGCTCCATCCGGCCGGTGGCCCTCCGCTCCCCGCCAGTGGCGGCTCCATCCGGCCGGTGGCCCTCCGCTCCCCGCCGGTGGCGGCTCCATCCGGCCGGTGGCCCTCCGTTCCCCGCCGGTGGCGGCTCCATCCGGCCGGTGGCCCTCCGCTCCCCGCCGGTGGCGGCTCCATCCGGCCGGTGGCCCTCCGCTCCCCGCCAGTGGCGGCTCCATCCGGCCGGTGGCCCTCCGCTCCCCGCCGGTGGCGGCTCCATCCGGCCGGTGGCCCTCCGCTCCCCGCCGGTGGCGGCTCCATCCGGCCGGTGGCCCTCCGCTCCCCGCCGGTGGCGGCTCCCGAGGGGTGTGCACAAGGACAAATTCAGTATCGATCCGTGGAGAAAGCGGGAGAATATGCGTGAGGGGTAAGGGGTTTCGCCATGGGAAACATTGGGTGCTTTGGCGAACATAAAGATCATCTGTTCGTGGCTTGACACGTCGGTGGTACATTTTAAGGTTTCTTCCTGTTTTCGGCGCGCTTTCTCTAAATTTCACCGGTTTCTAGGTCGGGAGGTATGTTACAAGAATGGGCGTAACTCCACGTCCTCGTATCTAGTCTTTTGCTCGTGACACACATCTACCCAGTTGGATTCATAAGGCGGCGTTTTTCGTCATCACACCGCCGGACGTGAGGTTTGTATGCGCCGAACACGGCGGCTGTAGAAGCCCGCCTGGCCCGGAAAAGAAGGCTCGCTCTGATCCGTGTCGGCTTCCCATAAGGCGTACCATTAACTCAACTTTGACCTGGGCGCGGGCTCTGACGGGATGTAGAAGCCCACAAAGGCGGGGACACGGTGAGCTGGCTTACGGATGGAAAATGGATTGGCCCAGTGCCGGTTTTGTGTGGGACAGGAGGATGACTGGCTGTCGGAGACCTCAGCTCCCTCGCTGGATGTGTCGCGGAGCGCACCATTTCGTTGGGGGATCGTCCGCCAGCTGATCGGCGCTAGCCCACACTCCTTCGCCCAGCGGTGACAAACGGCTCCCGCCAGTGCTTTAGTCCGCGTGGGAAGACCCGACTGGCTCGTACGGCCGCCTGAGTAGGCGGCAGGCCGGCGCCCCTGGCCGCCGCCAGTTCCGCC